TTTTTTTTTTTTGGAACTTTAACATACTCCAAATTTTTGACCAAATTAGACTAAATTAGAGACGAATATTCCAGATGTATATACATGTATTTATTGTCTCAAGTGCCAATCTCACAAAGTTTGTAAAAACATGAATGTGCACAGCAGAGTTCAAGTATGGGAGCAGAGTGTGATTGCCGAGGATTAAGGTTATCTCGAGAAGCGTTCGACAAAAAAGGGAAAAGAAACAAATCATCCTGGTCGAGGAAGTATATCTGAAGGGAAATTGAATTTCATTCTTAAATCTAGGCAAAAGACGGCTGCAGAAATGGCGCTTATCACGATAGCATATAATTCCTCCTTTAGAAAGATTCATTAAAACTTGCACAATCTCTCCGTTTCTTTTCTAATTAATTCACCCGGGATTGTCTCCGTCGTTCTGACGACTGACTGACACAGATACGGATATCCAAGACTTTCTGCAAGATCATCCGTTGAGCAGTCGTTCGCAAACTCGCCTGGAATCACCTTCGAATGGCCTTTCGAGGCCGCGAACACCGTAAATCCTCTCTGCGGGCAATTAAGTCCGCGACTGATATCCGCGTACGTTCTCGCAGAGAACGTTTTTCTTCAGAGAGTGATAATTTCACTCGAGAACTTGCCGAACTCGTATACTCGTTGCATCTCGCTCTTTACTCGATAAAGACTTCGTCTTTCACGCGATAAGGATAAATAAAACTTGACGGAAGAAATAAAATTGCTTCCAAATTGTTGTTGTTGAAGTGTCTTCAACTTCTACGAGCAAACACCAAACGACAGCAACAAGAAAGAAGGAATTACACTCACTCACCTGGATTGTGACCATTGTGACAATCACCCGTTAACGGTCGCCCACGTTCTCCATGAATGTCATATCGTAGAAAAAGGAGACACGGAATAAATTCAAGCATCAAGATGACCTCGCAATACGGCATCTAGAAAGTATTAAAATACCTCAAAGATACAAACACCCACTCGTACATCTAAAATTCAC